TCCTTGTCTTAATACTTATGTATTTATTATACTCGAGGGTTGTTACCGGTAAGAGCTATTCAAAGTTATCAGCAAATCGTTGGTATTTATAAGATAATTAATGCCTTAGGTCACGGTAGTATTAATTCTGTTCGGAGATTCAGTCATAATTTTAACACTCGATTTGGGAATAATATTCGCATTCAAAGATCGAATACGTTATTATCATCTTAACGCATTTCCGTGGCGGGTTCCAGGCTCATTAATGAGCTACCATTAAATATAAGGAACATTTTGAATCTGGTTAAGTGACCATGTACTTTAAAATATATAATTTCAAAATTTTATATTTTTTTGTTTTTATTTTCGCGCGTTAAATTGTTTTCCTGTTCTAATTTAAATTAGGTGATTCTTTTCCTATTTTAACAATATATACTATTCCTGATGTAGTTTACATTTGAAACCAAGCTTCTCTTCATTATATTTAATTTTTGTATTGATTTCTTTGAAATTTTTAATAGATCTTTGAAATGATTCTTTAAAGGAATCATTATCTAATCTTTAAATAGATCATTAAGTATTTAAATTTAGTGAAATTTATTTTTTTAATGAATGTTGAATAATTTGTAAAAAGTAGAATTTTCTATTTAGTTAATATTAAGTTCCCCCTATGCTTCTTTAGGCGAGAGAACGTTATTTATATTTTGTTTTTCACATTATTTTATAGTTTTATTAATTATAAATATATAAAAAAAATATATTATGATAAATAATATAATTTAAATTTTTGAAGTAATATTTGGAAGCTACATTGAGCATAAAATCTATTAAATTTTCAGCATTACATAATCCGATAGTGAGTAGTATTTGATGGATTTTCTTACCAATAACACTATAATCAATGTATAATATTTTTTATCTTTTTTTTTGTCAGACTCAATTTAATTTTCTTTGAATATGACATTTTAAATCATTTGCGCAATGCGATTCGATAAAGGGAATTGGACAGCAGTTCCTGAGCACTCAGAAAACCCTGCAATTGCAGAAAATAAGCACGGCGGTCTCGTCGCAATCTGCTACGAAATCTGCGCAAAAGAGAGTCTGATTTCCACAGCTTATGCAGGTGATATCATACTGGGAAATATCCAGTAAAGAGATTTGCATTAGCACGAACCCGGTTTCTATCCATCCCCAAAAAAATCTTCGGTTAATATTGCGGAGTGCGATAGATTAGAGACCTTCGCATGACGACACCTCTTCGTGTTCCGCGAGTGAAGGGCGCATTCTACCTCAAGCAGGCAGGCACATCTAACCTCATGGCAGAAGAAGGCTGTCCACACAAAAGCAGCAGTCTCAATTTCAACAACAGTGGCCGGGCATCCAAATAAGCGCGATTCTGTTTGCCGACACCAATTCCACGAGTGCAGCAAGATAGCACCAGCACCACCCTAATGTTCGAGAACATGTATATGGTACGATTTTTATGCCCCCTTTCTAAGTTGACCCTCGGATAGATTTCTATTGCATGTATTTCGCATAAAATACTGTACAATACGGGTCCAGTTTGGAAAATTTACGCGTATTCGGTAATGGTCCAAGACTGGAACGCTGTGAAACACCAATATTGATAAACCTACAAGAACTTTCAACACCTCTACATTAAGCAAATTGTTTACGAAATTTTAAATTACTCGCCATTATTTCAAGAGCCGAAACCGAAAAGCCAGCCATCCTCAATTTTTTCTAATACAATAGATTGATTTATGGTGTTAAACGCCTGTTTTAAATCAATGGAAAACCCCGAGACGAGTTTAACGTTCGACAAATTATCACAAATCATATTAGTCACATCAATGATATGGACACCAAAAATCATTAGACCTAAAGTAACTGTTAATCTGAAAGAACAAAATTTTTTCAATTATCTTGGCGAAGTAGGTCGGTACACTAATCGTCCTATAATTACGAAATTTCGATTCAGAACCACTCTTGAAAATTGGAGAAACTTTTTGAATCTTTTTGATTTCTTTAAACAATCAAGATAAGAACGAGTCAAAATAATTTTGTTATATAAATCTGCAATTATAATAGAAAATTTGTATGTAGAATCCCTAATTACCCTTAATGGTATACAATCCCAGCCTATCGAATTCTTATTTTTTAATAACTTAATAATATCCCTTGTAAATGGCACATCAACACAAATAAAATCTAAATCAGGATAAACGTGGTTTAAAGAATTTGAAACCTCATTACCATCATGCACAAAATAATCACTAAACATACCTGCAATTGATTGAAGATCATACAGCGGAATGTTCTCTGCATTCAAAATAAACCTAATATCACTATTTTTGGACCTACGTAACATAGAATTAAGAAAACACCATAATTTTTTTATCACCATCATCCGCACAAGTATCTACTTTATAATTATAATAATTACGTTTACAAAACTTTATTGATTTATTAACTATAAAATTCAACCTATGAAACATATCATATGATTGCGTATTCTTAGACGAACGCTTTAATTTTTTCATATGTGAATTTTTTTCTTTGATTAAATTTTTTAGACAGGTATTCATCCAAGGGACTAATAAATCTCATTTATCAAAACACAAAACCGAATTTACAATACAGGACTGTACTATATTTTTAACATCCGAAATCATCATATCACAAAACTGATTAGTACTTAAATCACTATAGGTCTCCCCATTTAATGATTGACCAATGATATTCGCCACCCGGCAAAAATCAATTCGAGTTTTACATTCGATTTTTAACATCATGCGATACATTATGATAACTTTCTTTATTTAGGATAGAAGATATAAGTATTTGTATTTAAGCGAGGATCATTACAAAAAATACGATCGATACAGGAATTTTTAGATGATTTCGTAACCAAATTATGCTCAAAATTAAATGAACTTAAATGAACTTATTTTTTTATTACTACTATTAACAAAGAAATTCATATTCGTGTCGCCTAACAATATGCAAGGAGAGTTGAAAATGCTGCTAAAACATTATCTAGAATATTTAAAAATGACGATATATAACATTTTGGGGATCGTTAGTAAGAAATTATGACTAAATCTTCGTTTAATAAAACAGAAGGTAAACTAAAACACATTAGGTTACAATAATTCTGATTGATTTTAGACACTACCATACGAATCATTCCAATATGAATGAATAGCGCCGTAATTTGGAATGTTATATATTTTACCAAATCACCACTGAACCACGTTTTCGGTACCACCACAATTTTAGGTAATACAGCAATATCGTATAACAAATTTTTAAAAGCATTAAATTTGTCAATTGAAGCCAAACTTCTCGCACGATAAGATATTAAAATTATAATCAATATTTGAAAAATGATTATTATATTCAATAATATTTGAAAAATTCATAATAAAATATTCTTAATGATAAAATGCAAAAAAATTCAAACAAAAATATTAATAGTTAGTAAGAATAATAATGACAAAAAGAAAGTAAATGAAAACTAAAAAAAAAAATTATAATAATAAAATTGAAATAGAACACTAATTATAATTAAGAATTTAATTGTGTAGTGAAAATTAACAACCAGATTAAAGTTGAAATTATTAAAAATAAAGCTGGGTCAAACCAATGGTTTGTATTGTAGCACTTTTCCCTTCAGCAAATGGAAATACGGCTTTTAATTAATATAGTCTATGTATACCTACGACACTATTAAAATTATTTTCATTCATGTACGAAACTATTTCTAGGATTGCATACATTTATGATGAACGATTTATGCAGTCTGAAGTAAAGCAAAAATAAATTTAAAGAAAGGTTCACATGATGCTCGATTTTAAGTGTTAATTATGTGAGTTAAGAAAAATAATTATATTCTTTAATGGACGAAATTTACCGTTAGCTTTCTGCGTTTATAGAAATTTGAAAAAGCTTGTGCTTTCGCAAATATAAGGTGCCAAATATTCAAATCTTACAAATTTCGCGAGGTGATAACTTGAGAAGGGGTGGAGATGGGAAAAAATTTTCTTCTAACGAAATAAACTATTTATGAATATCTAGAAGCTGCTAAAAAGCTGCGTTTCAGACTCCTGCAACGTACGGTGTAGAAGAAAAATGGTATCGAAAATTCGGGGAGAACGGGTTTTAGATAACGGAAAATTTTAACCGCCATTTTGTTTTTTTAAAGTCCAGAAATGGTATCCCGCGATAGAAGAGGCCAGCTACAATTTTTCTGCTTTTGCAAAATTTGAAAAATGTTTATGGCTTCACTGCAATAAATGGTTAAAAAATGCCGTTTTTAGGGTTTTTGGGGATATAACTTATCGAGCTGGGGAGATAGGTGAAAATTTTGTTCGGAAAAGGGTTTCTAGTAAGGATCTACGAAGGTATAAAGTTTCAGCCTTCTATCTTCAAGGGTGTAGAAGTTTTGTAAACAGACACACGGACAGACGGATGGACGGACGGGCTGACAGAGTGTTAGTTTCACTCTAGCATTTTTTTTCAAAAATTTTTTGGAAAAGTGCTAAAAAAAAGAATTCTACTAATGAAGACTAATTCTGTTACACAATTAGTCAGCAAACTACTCTGCGGGACTTGTGTAATCATTGTTATCACTGCTACTAGATTCTTCTCTAGAGTTATTTCTTACTGAGCCTGTTGATTTATCTTTTAAAAAAGAGTCTATAGTGTTCTTACTTTTATCCAATAAAATATGGCTTAGACGAAGCATTTCGTTTTACGAAAATTTTACCACGTGAAGCAAAAATTGTTTCATTATCAAGCATGAATTTTTTGGTGTAGTTTAAAAGATCTAACGATGATTTTGGCAAAACATCTTGAAAGAAGGTATGCCTATAATCTTCAGAATTTCTCAAATTTTTTTATTTGACATCTTCTTCTTCTCTCCTTGCCTTATTCCCGTAATGAGAGGTCAGCTCTCCTTATTCTTAGGCGTCAAGTTTTCCTTTCTTGGAATATTTCTTGTTGTAGATTGTTTCTTTTCATATCATTCTCAATAGTTTTCTTCCATGTTGTTGGAGGTCTTCCTCTTTTCCTGGTTGGTTTTTGATATTCATTGCTTTTCTTACAATCTGGTCATCATTCTGTCTACTTATGGGTCCATACCAGCGCATTTCTGCTACATGTAATTTTTGGATGTGTTGCTTCTGAGCTGCCCAACATTTAGTGCAATACATTAATGCCGGCCTGACAACAGTTTTATACAGTTTTCCTTTTAGTTTAGGTGGCATTCTTTTCTGACACAAGACTCTCGTAAGTGTTCGCCATTTCATCCAACCGCCATTAACTCTATGTTTGACATCCTGATCTATTTTTCCACCTGCTGTTATAACTGATTCAAGATATTTAAATTTAGATGCCATTGCTAGAGCTTGCCCTTCTACACAGACCGTATTATGAGATCCATAGACATTATTATTATGATTTATTTATGTTATTCGACATAAATATGTTTTTTTTCAAATTTGAAGAAAATTCACATATTGCTAGTGTCCTATCGTATTTAATTCCATCTCGACCATAAACTTTAATTTTTTTTATTATTTTGAAAATAAATAAATCATGAGGCCCCATATCTAATTTTATAAGTGAGGAAGCATTCAACACTAACGATACGACATCATCATTTAACAAAGTTGGATCAGTTCGAATTAAAATGTGATTTTTTATTGAATTGTTTCCAATTTTGTCAAACTTTAGCATAATATCATCATATATCTTCTGAAGATGAGTGTTTTGTTTCTTAATGGTTTTGTTTTCACTTTCTAGTTTTTTAATTTTTACATTTAAGTCTTCATATTTTTCATTTACGAGATTAACCATATCCCTCATGTCCTGCATCTCTTTTACCAGATAATCCAATTTTGAAATGATGGTGGACAATTGCAATTTTAAGTCTTCATTTTTGATTGGTGACTTTTTTGTTCAATTAATATAGAAAGAGAAAATGAACAAATTATAACTTGTTATAATATTAAATTAAAAAATAAACCAAATTTCAGGAAAATAGATTTCAAATAGTGTAATCAGGCTTTAAACCAAAATATTTGCCAGATAGTAGATGAGCCGAAAATGTATTAGTAAAAAAAATTAATAAAAGAACACTTATATTTTTCTTTGTTTTAAATGCTTCTCATATAAAGCAATTTTTAAAGAATATTGTAACATATTAATCAATTAAGTTATTCATAAAATTAATATTAAATTGCATCACATATAAAGTCATGATTTATCATGAATCAGGTATGATTTAAGATGTTTCATCCAACAACTTTTATAACAACAATTATGTCAATTGCACTTGAATGATATTACTTTCCATCGAGATAAAGAAAACGTGGTCTCAGATAAAATTCTGTTCTCAGATAATTATTCTATTTTTAAATTGCTTTATTAATATTTCAGTAAATTTCAGTTTCAATTGATGTGAATGAAATCCACATCAATTTAATATATTAATAATATATTAATATTATAATAATGAATATGAGTCATGTATATGAATATAAGTAAAATGTATAATTCAGTTTATAAACTTGTAAATTTATTTGTCAAAAATTATAATTAATTGAAAGAAGTAATTTCAAAATTATCACTTTAATAGTAAATCAAAGCAAATGAAGCACATTTAAATAAATTTTTGTAGGATATTGTAACATATCAGTCCATTGAGTTTTTTCATAAAATTTATTATTATATTTTTTTTCTTATTATTTTTGCAAAAATTTGGCAATTAGGATTTAACATCTTTTTTCTAAAAAACTTTTAATCACAACAATTATCTTAATTGCACTTGAATGATATTAGTTCACACCCAGTTAAAAAAAAGTCTTAGATAAAATGCTTAATTACACAAGATGACCTTCATTATACTATTGTTTTAAATTGCTTTATAATGTTAAATGAAACCCACATCGATTTAACTTATCAATGTAATAATATATAATAATGAAAATAATAAAAATAAAAATAATAAAATAGTTCACTTTATGTCCTAGCATATGATAATAAATTTTAGTGTTTTTAATTTTTACAAAATAATAGCATATAATAAATTAAATGACTAAATTTTAAAATGGCAGTGTATTATTTTTCCAGAATTTTTATACAACAATTAAAAACCATCCATTTTTAGAAAATATAATTCAAAATAAAAAAAAAAAACAGAAAAAAAACGTGCTTTAAGTTTAATAACCAAATTGAACAAATTTTAACCCTAATAATTTTTTGTCCATATGTAATTTAAAAGCAAAATAAGTAAGAAATAAAGTATTTAATTTGTTTTCTTCTTCTTGTTTTAATATTTTCAAAATAAACTAGTTAATGAATTTTTCAACTTGTAAAATTAATTAAGAATCATTATAAAACGTGATTTGGAAAATTTTTTGAGCACTACATAAATACGATACGATTGCGTGTCAAAAGTAGAATGAATTATTGAAATTATTTTTATATTATTTTATAAATTTATCACTGCATAATTTTAATTTATCATAATTATTAATATTTATTAATTAATTAAAATATATTGCACTAGTATGAATGAAAACTAAACTAGTAATGATTATTGAATTTGTGGAAATTTTTAAGAAATTTAGAGTTTTCGCATCATCTTAGATAGTTCCAGAGTCTCTTAACAGAGCTATTTTAATAAATATTTCTGCTACTAAAGCCCCCGAGATATTTTTAGAGGAACAATATGCTGGGTATATGTTTCTTTTCTAGAAACTTTTTAAAATGGCTTCGTTCCAGAATGTTTTTTACACTTATTATTATTATTATATTAACTTAAGTTCGTGACTTCAAACTTCGCGCCTAGTGAAACACCTAAAAATGTGATAATCACATTTTTCTCCGTCAGAGCATTTTGGTAACAAAGATATATATTAACAATTTTTTTAACTTGAAGTTTTCAAAATTAAATTCTTTGATGTCAATAAAGAAGATGTCAAAAATTATTTTATTCTTTATTAACAAGTCAATAAAGAATAAAATAATTTAGTTTGCAAAATTTTGTTTAAAAAACTTATAACAACAAAATATTTGTGCTACGTTTGTGTCTGCCACTGATTTGATATTGAGAGTATTATAACATTGATATTGGAATAGTTAATAGCCGGAATATATACTGACTGCCGCGATATTAGCTTCTCAGACACTATATCACCTCAGAAAATATTTTTACCTCGAAAATATTTTTATACGGGGCTCTGACGTAACGGACTACGTTTTCTCTAGCTAGTCGTGGGACGAAAAATGAAGAAGAGACAATTAAAACAGCACCAAAAATAAACAACCCGAACCCTCTATGACGCTCATTTTGATATGGATATGAGGAATATCCCCACTGCATTCACTCAACAATCGAGAGGACCGAAGACATCTGTTCAGACAAATGAGGCGGACCGAGCACCGCACATCCTGCTCACCAAAATAAACAACCCGAACCCTCTATGACGCTCAATTTGATATGGATATGAGGAATATTCCCACTGCATTCACTCAACAATCGAGAGGACCGAAGAAATCTGTTCAGACAAATGAGGCGGACCGAGCACCGCACATCCTGCTGCAGATAACACATCGGAGGTCAGCTATCAAATGACCGTGAAAACCATGAAGCTCGCGTTTTGTCGAGGAACCACTTCTCGTTAATGTTGACACAAGAGGCTATCATAGATGAATAAGTCAAAGGCTGGGAAGAGGTCATCCAGTTTGAAAAAATTCACTTCCAACACGGAATGATTCTCGTCGACTGCACAGACGAGGAGCGCGTAGAAAGGTTCTGAATTAACTGCAAAGATGGGGTATGACATTCCCAAGCTCCACGTTATTACCACGTTCGTGCCTAGAAGCACGAGTCAAGAGAGGAGCATGACCTTGCGGATTTTCCGGGCTCAAAATAGGGGAATATGCACCCGGGTCCGGAAAATGGTTGGCCAGAGCGAAGACGGAAAATTGTGTTGAAGATTGGCACCGATGGCGCATCAGCAGACGCCAATGAGGAGGAGAGACACTTTCTGGGATATCATTTCGAAAACATACACGGATTCAGAACGATCAGGGCGGATGGCAGTACACTGGCAGCTTACTTAACGTAATTCACTGTTTGAAATTAAGATTAATAAAAATAGGTAGGTTAGGATTAGAATATTAAATTAATGATTTTTATGAGTAAAAGGTGGTTCAAATTAAGAACTCAATTAAGGTGTTTTTATTTAAAGACATAGACAAATAATAAGTATACACATTGGACTACTGAATACCGTACGTTTTGGTGACCCCAACGTGATCGTGCTGTGTATTAGAATTATCAAATTTCACATAATTTATGGGTAATATGGATGAGCTTTTTTCAAGATAGTTTGGGTCAGCAAGGAAGCTAAACACACTTAAGCCATCATACGAACTTCTAGCCGAAGAAAGAAAGTCTCTAAACGTAGTCGAAGAAAGGCTACAGATATTGCAAAATTTGTGGACCTCACTCGAGGCTATTGATGAAGATATAAGGACTCAATTTGGATCGAAGTTGGAGCATTCTTACTATGCAGAAGACTTATATCGACAAGTAGAACAAATATATACGCAACTGAAGGAAATGTTAATAAACAAAAACAAAATGGAAGAAGAATGGAAAGAATATATCAATAAAGTTGGGTCAAACCAGTGGTTTGTATTGTAGCACTTTTCCCTACAACAAGTGAAAATTCTGCTTTTTAATACATCTATATATACCTATCACACTATTAAATTTATTTTCATATTTTCATATTCATATTTAACTATTTCTTGGATTGCATATATTTAGGATGATGCATTCATGTAGTCTTTGAAATAAAGCAAAAATTAATACTCGTATAAAGAGGGGTTAACATAATGCTCAATTTTAAGGCTTAATTGTGTGAGTTAAGAAAAATAATTATATTTTTTAATGTCATGGAATTTACCGCTAGCTTTTTATGTTTATAGAAATTTGAAAACGTTTGCGGTTTCGGAAATATAAGGCACCGAAAATTCAAATTTTACAAATTTACAGGAGATAACTTGAGGGGGGGTAGTTATGAAAAAAAAATTTTCTTCTAATAAAATGAACTATTTGTTAATTTCTATAAGCCCCTAAAATTTCAAGCTTCTACAGGCTGGGGTCTAGAAGAAAACCGAAATCAAAAATTTGGAAAAAAGAGACTTTAGATAACGGTAAATTTGAACGGCCATTTTGTTTTTCTAAAGTTTAGCTATAGTATACCGCGCTAGGAGAGGCAAGCCGCTGCTTTTATACGTTTGCAAAATTTCAAAAATGCTTATGGTTTCATTGCAACAAATAGTTAAAAAGGGCCATTTTTAGGGTTTTGGGGGGTTATAA